CACTGGGGTCCCGACTTACGACCTCGTTGATCTCGCCGGTCCCGTCCTGCTTGGAGCCGATGGACGTCTTCCTCCTCCTCCGTGGTATCTGAGGCGGAGTCCAGGTCCCCGTGGTGTGTGGTGGTCTCTCGTCGGCTTGCTTCGGGGGTTTCTGTGTGGTCCCCGTTTTCTGCCCTCCGAAACCTGGCTGCTGACTTTCGGGTAGCCTCGGCCGCGGAGGCTTCGGCCAGGGCGTCGGCGAGATCGATGTCGCCCTTTGCCATCAGCCGGCTCTTCAGTGCCTGGCCCCTGAGGCCTAGGACCACTCGGTCTCGGAGGGCATCGTCCAAGTCCCGGAACTCGCACATCCCCCCTAGATCCCGCAGGGCAGCTATGAAGTCGCTGACACTCTCGTCCTGCCGTTGGTTCCGCCGGTAGAATTCGTCCCGCTGGATGAGAATGGGCACGGCGGGGGCGTAGTGGTTCCGAAGTAGTGGCTCGAGATCGGCCCAGTCCATCGCCTTCACATCCGCGGGCTTCGCGAGGGCTTTGGCCATCTTGAACACTGCGGCCCCGCAGTGTGTGAGGAAGACGGCCCTCTTCTTCTGCCCGTTCGCATCCTTCAAGTTGCTACTTTCGAGGAACATTAGGAATCGGTCCGTGTACGATTCCCAGTCCTCGGTAGCCGGGTTGAATGGTGCTGGTGGGGTCATGCTGGCCATCTAGTCGGTCTTTGTCTTCCTCGGGACACGTGCTCGGTGGTTATTCTCTGGATCCCACCTTCGTCGCCAGTGTCGTGTCCGGCGCAGGAAGGAAGCTCGGAGTCAGTGACTGGTTTCAGCTCTTTATTATGCTCCGGTTATAGCTTAAGCTTGGAAGGAGAAGCGGCGGCTTTTTATTTCCAAGCCGCGGCGGCCGCGGCCAATGGCACCTCTTCGAATCTCCCGCGCTTGGTTCCACCAATCGCGGGAGATTCTTAACGGACCAATCCGTGCGGCTCGCTCGACCAATCCGGTCGCCGCGCGCTTTAGCCAATCGCGGCGCGGGGTTTATGAGTATGTTACTTGACTGTACAGAACACCGACCACAACATAATTCCTTTGTAGAACTAAGAGGGCAAACATTACAAGCCATGGCTTGCACTATGTTATCTGATTCAGGTTTACCTGAAACACTGTGGGGTGAGGCCATAATGTGTAGCAACCATGTTTTGAACAATGTAGTTAACACAACAACTGGAGAATTGCCATTCACTTGTTGGCATGGCAGAAAACCAAATTTAAGTTACCTACACATATTTGGAGCTCCAGCATGGGTGCATATTCCCTCACAAGTAAGACTGAAAGGGCAACAAAGAGCTAAGAAGTTATTTTTTGTGGGTTAGGAGGCCAACCATAGATCATTTAGATTTTGGGATCAAGGCACAGCTCATGTTTATTGTAGTGCTAATGCAAAATTTCTCGAGCACGTTGGATGGGATAAACTGGAACAGGAATCCAGCAATGATGTTATTATTGACACCCAAATAGTCCCTAAAGATAAAATCAGTAAACCCCAAATAGCCATTAAAGAGGAAGAACATGAGGAAGTAGTAGAACAGGCACAGGAGGAGGTAGAAGAACAGGAGCAGGTGGCACAGGAGAGTCCACCAGTTAGCCTTGTATTACCTAGACATTCAACCGGAGTAACACGACCACCTGATAGATATCAGGCTAGTATTGTATGCCAAGTGAATACAGTTCCAAGTAATTATAGTGAACTAAAACTGTATCCTGCTAAGGATCAGGATGCTTGGCAGAAAGCAGTGGATAAGGAACGGGAATCATTAAAAAAACTGGATGTATATGAAAATGTTAAGTTACCACCAGGTAAACATGCCATAGGATGTAAATGGATATATAAACTTAAGACTAGTGTAGATGGGACTATTACCCATAAAGCCAGGTTAGTAACACAAGGGTTTAATCAGACAGCAAATGACTACGATGAGGTGTTTGCACCTAGTCTGAAGGCTACTACATTAAGGGCAGCATTAGTGTGGGCAGCTAAAGAGAAATATATTGTAAATCATTTGGATGTAGAGACGGCATATCTGCATGCACCATTGCAACACACTATATATTTAGAGAAACCTTTAGGTATCAAAGATGATAATACAACTGATTGCTGGAAATTGAAAAAGAGTCTTTATGGTTTGAAGCAATAAGGATATGAGTGGAACCAATGTATAGTTAAAGAATTAACTAAAATAGGTTTTGTAGCTGGCATGGCTGATCCATGTTTGTTTAAAAGAGAAAATAATGGTGTAATTTCATTGTTGCTATTATTTACTGATGATATAGCATTAATCACCAAAACTGAACAAGAAGCTACTGAGATAATTTCACTATTGGAAAAGAAATTTAAGATAAAACAGTTAGGAGAAATCAAACAATATCTTGATTTAAAGATAGATAGAACTAGGGGAGGATACAAAATCTCACAGGCAGATAAAATTAACCAATTACTAAAAAGTTTTAAAATGGAACTTTGTAAGCCGGCAAAGACACCAATGAGCCAGGAGTTTAGCCATAGTGATGTTCAAAGTCCTGTTTTTGATAAGAACATTTATCAGTCCTTGATTGGTAGTTTATCTTATCTCAGTAATTGGTCAAGGCCAGATATTGCATACAGTGTTAATCAATTAGCTAGATTTAACGCTGAGCCAACTGAAAGGCACTGGCAAGCTGCTAAACGTGTGTTAAGATACCTGAAACAAACAATGCATTATGCATTGTATTTGGAGCCTAAAAATGAACTGAGTTTAACTGCATATGCTGATGCAAGTTTTGCTACAGACATAAATACACGAAAATCTACATCGGGTACTGCTGTATTATTGGGAAAAGCATTGATTGGATGGAGGTCTATTGGACAGAAACATCTAAGTTTGTCAACAATGGAGGCTGAATTCTCATGTTTGTCTTTATTATGTACAGATTTAGTTTTGTATAAGCAATTATTAATTGATATGGGAATTAATATAACAGATTCTATTGTAGTTTACGAAGACAACCAATCAGCAATACAGATGGCTTCAAATATTGCTGTTAAAACAAGAATGAAACACACAGATTTAAGATATTTAAATGTGAGACAATGTGTGCAAAGTAAAATGATTAAGCTAGAATACTGTATGTCAGAAAACAATGTAGCAGATCATTTTACAAAGACCCAAGGCTCTATAAAGCATAAGGTGTGCTGTGAAGATTATGGACTTAGAATGTAAGGTTGTATATTGTCTTACCCAAAAGGGGAGAATGTTAGGAATATGAGTCATCAAACAGGTATTTGGGTTAGATAGACATTTTAAAACTGTATCTGTAAGAAAATGCAAAACTGTAGTTGGGTGTGGTTTCTCAAACGGCCATAAGATGGAGCCAGAAACCTGGGTTGTTTTAGTCTTAGTCTGAGTCTCAGAAGAGAGTGTGAGTGTATCTGTTTCCTTCTGTTGGAAAGTATTGCCATTGCTCCATTTTTCCTAATTGACTGATATTCATGGATTTGATGTAAGTCTGATACTGAACAGTTTTTGACACTGGACTTTGTTACTGGATTATCCCTGGATTGAAAACTGACTGATTTAATCTGTGAATGACTTTGGACTGCCTATTTTGAACTTTGCTTAAACCTTTATTGAAAGTAAACCCCTACATTTACTGTACAGTATATCTGTATGCTGTGTGTGTATTATTAAAACACTATTCTCTATACGTTTCCCTGTATGTGCTCATTCTAACGGGGAATTACCTCAACAATATCCATGAAAAAAATGTCCCAAAGTTTTCTGCTAGATGTTGTAACAGATAACAGATAATCAGAGTTGAAAGGGACCTTATAGGTCATCTAGTCCAACCCACCGCCCTACACCATATCTGACAAATGGCAGTCCAATCTCTTCTTGAAAGTCTCAAGTGATGGTGCTCCCACAACTTCTGAGGGCAAGCTGTTCCATTGGTTGATTGTTCTCACTGTCAGAAAGTTTCTCCTTATTTTCAGGTTAAATCTCTCCTTGTCCAGTTTCCATCCATTATTCCTTGTCTGGCCTACAGGCGCTTTAGAAAATAGCTTGACCCCTTACTCCCTGTGGCACCCCCTCAAATATTGGAAGACCACTATCATGTCTCCCCTGGTCCTTCTCTTTACTAGACTAGCCAAGCCCAGTTCCTGCAACCGTTCCTTGTATGTTTTAGCCTCCAGTCCCCTAATCATCCTGGTTGCTCTTCTCTGTACTTTTTCTAGAGTCTCAACATCTTTTTTATAATGTGGTGAATAAAACTGAATGCAATACTCTTAGTGTGGTCTTACTAAGGCTTTATAGAGTGGTATTAGTACTTTCCTTGATCTTGATTGTAGATTAAGCTGGAGGAATTCCTTGTAGAATAAAGTCTCCTTCTCTATGATGTCTATGATATCTTTTTTTCTCAAAGAATTCCCGACCTTGTTAATATCCATGGAGAAAAAAACCCAAACTTGACCTCTTAAGAGTTGTGAATTTACTTGGCACTCTTGTTTCAGGTGCACTGGGTTATGTTCAAACCATCATAATAAAAGCTGGTGTCAGATTTATATTCCAAACATAAAGTTACTTGCATTATCCACCATTTGTCAAGTTGACACAGTGGGTTGATAATTTTGCTAATTGTGTCTCTTCTTCTTTTTTAATATCCTCTGCATAATTTGTATCTTTGAACCCTAACTGATTTATGGTATAAATGATTTTCTGTACTATAGACCCATCAAAAAGTTCCTTGATGACACACTCCAGTTCAGAGTTAAACATCTCCATAGCTCCCTCTAGTGGTCAAAATGTTATTGATTGATTGATCGATTTGATTTGTCAATCGCTTACAAGATAATAGCTATAAGAATAAACATGAGTATGAATACAGGAAATAGGTACAAATAAATGGGGACAATAAGACAGGGACGGTAGGCATGATTGTGCACTTATGCACACCCCATTGTTTGTTTATTCTTTTTTTTTAGCCAGTTAGAGTTCATGAATCTTGGAAAATTTCAACCACCACAACAAAACAATACGGACAGTCGCATAATTTTTTTTTTTCTCATTTGTTGCCCGGGCTGTAACAATTTTTTTTAGCCACTTTGGAATCTGTTGGGTCTGTTACTACTGGCTGTTATTCTAAGTGCAGCTGAAAAAAGAAACAGTTGGTTTTACAGTCTTACTGTGTTGGCGTTGGGGGGGGGGAGGCATCTTACAACAGCTCTGCTTCCCCTTTCTTCCCATGTTGGTGTGCTGGAACCAGCTTCTTCTTTACCACCAACCACCCTGTCCTTTCTTCTAGCAGCTGCCGCACCCTCTCACATGCATCTTCTTGTGTTCTCCTCACTCACCCATGTATCTTCTTCTAGCAGATTCCCCGCATGCTCAGGTGCCACCAGCCTCTTCCTTTTGTAGTTAGAGCTCCACCCATGGTCCAGTACTGCTCCTAAGATCTTAAAGTCCGCAGGGAAAGAAGAGAACAACAAAGAGAAGGAAGGGCCAGAGTTCACTGCTGCAAAACTCTCCTTGCACACCTGGCAAGATGGAAGGTCCTCTTCAAACCACCCTTGCTTCAGGCATGGGTTGTATTCTTGCTTCAGTCTTTCCTGGAAAAGAAAACTAAGCTATTGTTTATGTCTTGGTCCAGCAGCTGTCACAGCTGTGTTGATGGCTGGATAAACCCAGGTGGTAGTCATACTTATTTTTATTGATGTTGCTTTGGGTTTATGTGAAACCAGAAACTTGTTCCAATGTTCTCCAATTCCTGGCTAGATTACTGTTTTTAGAAACCAGGAAATGGACCTAGCATCGTCAAGAATGTGTTTTCTGATATTATAGCCTCTATCCTTTGAAATTATCTTTAAAAATAATTACACAAAATATTTGCAGATCAACTTGTGAACAGTAGGTTACATGTTCTCAACTGCCTCCAGTTTCCTTACCATCCCTCCCCCCCAATCTTTTTGACCTCTCTTTGGCCTCTGTTCTCTTTACTTTGCCTGTTCTCAGTGCTCTTTAATAAATGAAAACTGATTTTTTTTTAGATTGTGAAAGGAATGAAATATAGACTGAATGTCGATATCCGCAGGACTGTATGCAGCAAAAGAATACTGCATCCCAACTTGGACAAATGTGACTTCCAGAAGATGCTGATGCTGAGAAAAGTATGTTCAACTTCTTTGTGCTGTTCTGAGAAATCCAGGGTGGGTAGGAGTACCAGATCTGAACTGTGAAAATCTGAACAATGATTAGATGGCAGCAAAGAGCAATGATTTTCTGTGTCTCCTTATTGCCTTCTGCCAATCGTCCAGAACTTTGCAGAAGACAACTAGTAGCAACAACTGTGGGCGGGGCAAGTGAGCGACCAGCAACTGGGTTGGGGGCATGGCCAGCCAGAAGTTACCCAGTTTGGCGACCCACACCAAATCCTTGCTACCAGTTCGCCCAAACTGGTGCGAACCAACTGAATACCACCACTGATGTGATCATAAACTGGAAAATCATGTGACTGGGCCAATTTATGATGGCAGTTGCGGTACTTCCAGTGGCTGTTCCTTAAGCAAATACTGTGCAATTGTTATGCAAGGAAATCACGTGATCATTTCTTATGACTTCCTGCCAATTTTCCCATTGACTTGGCTTATAGGAAGCCAGCAGGGAAGGTCAGGTGACAATTACACAACCAGGGGATGCTGCATGTCAGAAACGTGAACTGGTTGCCAAGTATCCAGATTATGATCACATGACTGTGTGGAGGCAATTTTGAGGACTGGTCATAAGTCTCCTAGTTCAGTACCGATGTAACTCCAAATATTGCTAAACAAGTAGCCAGTACGCAAGGACTACCTATTTGAAAAGGATATCATAGAAGGCTTTTTGCTGAGACATCTTCAGCTCTGAAAATACTTTTGATTGCAGTATCCTGTCACTGTAGTGGAAGGAATTAAATCGTGCTCATATCTACAAAAAGAAGATGGAGCGAATTGTTTCTGCACATAGAATAGAATAGAATTATAAAAGGGTCAAGGCAATTTTCTGGCTTTTCTCTTTTGTCTGATTTAATGCCTTTCGTTTTGTTTTTCCCCTCAGAAACTCACATGTGATTTCGAAGTCTGGCTTATCCCTTGGCAGCAGAAAATCCAAATTCCAGTCATGTTCTGCCACTAATTGATCTCTAATAAACTTTATAGATATTGCATGTTTAGTTTTTGTCAACTGGTACACCACAAATTGTCCATAAAGATACTGGATCGCCAACAGCTGTGGAGTCTTTTGCTTTCTTTCTTCCTTTTCTAATGGAAAATGATAAAAATATACTCATTCTTTTTTCACCTGTCTTGCTGTGAAGAAAACATCAATAAGTTCTTAGATGAAATGATACGTCATGTTCATAATATGTCCTGACTTTCATGCTACATATATAGAATATGGATGTCTTGAAAAGGGTGTCCAAGGAAGGAAAATGACAAAACAGTGTTATGCCATCAGCATCTCCATCCTTTTTGTAGAGGGGTGTGATTTTGCATGCAGATACTAAAGGGGAACACATGTAACATGAAGGGATGAGACTGTTTTGGTCAGTTTGATGAAAGGATCAGTTCCTACAGACACTTGTGAGACAACATGGAAACAGTAGATCAGTAGTGGTTAGAGACAATGTAGGGTTAATGCACACATAAAAGGGATCTAAATATGAAATTGGATGAAGTACAATACTGTAGAATTACTGAAGTACATGGAAGTATGTGGGAGAAGTGGGAGCTATCAAGGAGAAACAAGAACATATGTCATTGTGGTGATAAGGAACTAAGAGGAACTGCTCACTGTTGGCATGTCAACAATCTCTTCCCTTTTCTTTTTTTTTCTTTTTTTATTTTTTCTTTTATTTATAAATTTTATTGGTTTTTAAAAACAAACATAAACAAACAAAACATAAAAACATCAAGCTATCTTCCACAGGTGTACATACAGTGTGCCGGCTGGCTTACAAATTGTTTTGTGCTTCCATTTCATAGTCTTCAATTACAATTACATTGCATATGATCTCATATTGTCAATCAAAAATTAAATCCCTTAGTATCATTATTAATCAATCATTTGACTATACTTTTATTCATTCATGTTTTACAGGATAATCATAATTTACTTAGTTTATTTTATAACAGTTCATATTATCATCCCAAATCTATCCTAAAATCATTTTGTAGATATAAGAAAAAAGTACATCGTTATATATTTATTATTTTCTAAAAGTCTACGTATTTCATTACTGTATTTTATTGTCTAACCATTGATAGAAAAGATCCCAAATTTTATAAAATTGTTTATCCTCTTGTTCTCTAATTTCAAATGTCAATCTACTCATTTCAGCACATTCCAATATTTTCTTAATGATTTCCTCCTGTGATGGTATTTTCTCATTTTTCCAGTTTTTAGCAAATACAATCCTAGCCGCTGAATCTCTTCCCTTTTCAAGAATCACTAGACTAGAAGATTAGATTCAAGTCATCCATCTGAAGCACAAACCATGCATCAACCTTCTCTCAAATTGTATCTTCTTGAGGTGACTACCACTACCACACTCCATAATTCCTAGCCAGCATGACTAAAGCTGGAGTTTCTGCAGATGGTAATGCTGTATGTTTAGAGGGTCTAAGAATGAGGAAGACTGATGTGTCTGCTGCTAGGATTATTACTGCCAATCTTCCATGCATTTAACTAACTATAACTAGTAAACAACATAATTAGGTTTCTGTGTCAAGCCTACGCTTTCTATTATTCTTTGGGGTGGGGGGGAATGAGTGAATAAAATGTTACCTAACTAAATTTGACAATAATAAACTCTTCTGCAATTCCTTGTTTTCCAACTCTACTGCTCGCAATTTAATCAGTTGCAACCTACTCATCACTAAGGACAAGAAAACCATGTTTCATATTGGAAACTGGGAGGAATATGGTTTCCTAAAACACATTTAGAATGTGATGACCATTTGAGAATTCTTTACTATCCTTCCTACTAAAAATGAGAAGATTCAGTGGCTGGTTTCTAGTATTACTGGTCAAACAGCATTGTGCAATTGGTTATTTCCACACTGTCTCTTAATTTGCACCATGTATGAAATTCTACATGGCCTCTTCCTGTTGAGTCATTGGTTAGTACTGATTCACTGAAACTTTTAACAGAAATGCACTGTATTGAGTGTAGAACAAAGGGAGGTCCAGGTAAACCAAACCTGGTTATGCAATTCTGTTTTTCATTAGCAGGTATGGGGGGAACCCAGAAGTGATTGCATAATAAGGGGTTAGGGTTATGACAGACAGTGCAACCCCTCTCTCTCAGCCCAACATATTTGAGCTGTTCCAGAGAAAAATAGGGGCAAGCACAGAATGGACTCCCTTGAGATTCCGAACAAAAAGCAGAATATAACTAATGCAATCCCGGTGAATAAATAAAGATCATTTGACATTTTCCCCTGTCATTTTGAGAATGAGAATAGGTAACCATGTGATTTGAAACAAAACAAACTTAATCCGAAAAGCTTTTAAGTAGAAGGGAATGAAGTCTCTTTTTGGAGTGAAGGGAAAGAACATATATTAACCTGTGTGTGGCATCTCTCCTGATGCTCACCAGACTGTTTATTGTGCATGCCTTCATCTGTGCCATTTTTATAAATAAATATCACAGAAACCCCCAGCTTTATCCAACTTAAAACCTCTAATTGGGGAAATTGGACTATGTAATAGCCTGGAATAAAATCGAGGAGGTTGTTGGCAAAGACTGTTCAGATGAAGCTGAAAACAACAACCACAAGACGATTTCCTGCCTTTCCGCTAAAATTAAAGTTACAACAGTATACAAAAGAACTACATAGGCTGTGTCTATGGAGATTCTCAGTCATCCAGGTTGTTTTAAAGGTGCTTTTTCAAGAGGCAACCTAACTTTCTGGTTTTTCTTTGAAGACATTTCGCTTCTCATCCAAGAAGTTTTTTCAGTTCTTCTTCAGAACTGAATCTTCTTGCGAAACGTCTTCAAAGAAAAACCAGAAAGTCCAGTTGCCTCTTGAAAAAGCACCTTTGGGACTAATTATGCTGTGTTTGCCTGACCCAGGCGGTTATTACTTTCTGCGTTTGCACAGTATGTGCGCCTAAACCAGGGTTGCCTACGTTGCATCCTCGCGGAAATCTCTGTCCGCTGCGCGATTCTCTGCCTTCGGCGTCTCTTTTGATCAGTTTTCCCCCCCACCTGCAGCAGGTGACTCTGCTCCTTCGCTGCAGTTTAATATCTGTATATAGGAAGAGGAGAACCCCAAGCCACCATTTCTGGTTAGAAGGTGGCTTTGCGCTTATCCAATTGGGCAAGCCACCGACAGCCACAAAGCAGAAACCTCGAACGTAGCGCCGCCGAAAGCGAGGCCAGCAGCAAGACGAGAGCAAATGTCCATCCGTCCGCCCGCCCCGCCCCGCTTGGGCTTCCTTCAGAGACGGAATTCGTTTATCTCTTTCTCCTCCGCTGGAGATTGACGGATGTCGCAGCCAATCCGAGAGGCTGGAAGAGTTCTGCACGCCTCGAGCTGTCGCAAGACGGGATCCAGGCCGAAGGCATGAGAATTAACCCTTTCGACCCCCGAGGAAGGAAAAGAGGCGGGATGCGGCTGCCTCGCCCGCGTTTTGCTTTCTGCCCAGTTCCTTTCCGTCCTCCTCGTCGCGCCGCCATGGCCCAACTGCGAGCCTCTTCTTCGTCGGCCACCACCTTTGACTACCTGGTGCTGGGGGGCGGCTCGGGCGGGTTGGCAAGTGCCCGACGCGCCGCGCAACTGGGAGCCCGGGCTGCTGTGGTTGAAAAAGGGCGACTTGGAGGCACTTGCGTGAGTCCAAAACAGGGTGTCGGGTGAGGGAGGAAGAGGAAAGTATGTGTGTGTGTGTGTGTGTGTGTGGGCGGGCTGCCTGCAAATATACTCATAGGAGGCTCGCCTGCATACCCGGTGGGTAGGCTTACCTGAGTGGGCTTATGCCAAGGCAGTGAGTTCGTCAAGAGCCCGAGGGCGTGGAAGTCTCCCCCCTTCACCCACACGCCGTGGGTGGGCAGGGCAGCAATAGTTAAACAGTGTTGGGCGAAAATTGGAGGTGGAGACCCTTTGAGAGCCGTATGCGACGAGGTTTCATTTTAACGTATGCCGATTAGCGGACGTTCAAAGTGACTAAATAAAGTTATTCTAAGTCTAAACAGGGCTGTGATTTCAGGTGCCTGGGGGGAAACCCAGCCTTCGCTTCAGCCTGTTGCGTGAATACAGCAGCTGGGTTTTGGTTGTTGTCCCCGGGTTAGGATTGTGTTGCTGCAACTCCGTGCCTTGTGACATAGCAGTTCATCTTGCATCTAATATATAGCTTTTCTTTTCTTTTCTTTTTACCCTCAAGATAAGGCAAGTGGGATGTGGGTAGAACCCATCACTTTTGGGCCAATTCAGTTTTCACCGAAATTTCAGGAAGTGCTTTGGTCTTTGCATCCGCCCCCAACGTGTCTTTCCTGGCTTTATCCTTCTGTATCTCAAGCAGGAAGCAGGGGATATTTTTAATTATACGTTTCTTATTTATCTCTTCTGTGTCTATGGGATACCTTTAAAAAGAACGTAACATTATTATTATTATTCATGGGTCTTTTTCTGATTGTAACAAGCTGTTCTGTATCAGATTATAGAATGTTCCCAAGTGTTAAACTTTACTTCTTCCCAGTTGGAATTATAGCTTCCTCTAATTTATGAGATAATGGTAATTGTTAGTCCCCCCCCCCCCCCATCATGCTATACACAAAGCAGTAAAATAGATTGTGCCTGAAGAAATTAACTTTAAAAGCTCAACAGTCCAAACATTAAAGATGTGGCTTGGTGCTTATTGGTGATGATCATAGTTTGTGAAGAAAAATGTCAAATTAGTTATGGAGAGACCGGGTTGGCAATATTAAAATTGATTATTTGGTAATGATGCAAAGACTGGAAAATATGAGTGAATAAAATTCTAGAGAAAGGGCTAAATAAGGAGTAAAGTTTAGAATGTACTGTATATTCAAAGAACTTAACTCTAAACTGTTTTCTGTCATTAAATAGAGCAGCCTTCCCCAGTTTAATAACCCTTCAAAAGTTGTGAGGCTATAGTTTCTCAAGCTCCCATCCTTTGATTGTGTTTGCTGGGAATTCTGGAAGATGTTGAAATTACATAATGCTGCAAACCATGGAAAGAAAGAGAAAAGGATGATAGCAGCAAGGTGGATGGAGTTAGATGTGCTGTTGGAACACCTGAAGGAGCAGATTGGAGAGAGCTGATCCTGGAGAAGATATATATGGCAGCCAACAGCCTGTTCCAACTTGCAGGCACGTAATAAATCAAGAAACAATAGCAACATCTATGTGGCAGCCAACAGCCTGTGCCAACTTGCAGGCACGTAATAAATCAAGAAGCAATAGCAACATCTGGAGGAGTCGAAAGTGGAAAAGAATTTACTAACATCCATGAAAGACAATTTCTGATTTTAGGCATTCAGTGGAATCGGTAAAAATGTCACTTGAATGTGTTGATTGGGTTATAAAATGGCTTGCTTTAAGAACTAACAAGGATTCTCTTCAAGAAGAAACCAAGGGCCAGGCAAATCATTCAGATTGCCTGATAAAAGGTGCTTTTTCATGCAAACTTTAATCATATATAAACTATTCAAAGGTATTTAGAAAGACAAGTACTCATGCAGACCCTAACCAGATACTGACCAACCCAATATCTACCTAACTGAATAATGAAATGTGCTTCAAATTTGTTATTATGATTAAGAGCTAATGCTCAGGCTAATGAGATGCAGAATGCAAGTAGTTTCTTAGATTATCCATATTCCCAATGGCATTCTCAGGTTCACCCAATTTATTCCTGTGGAAATTGATGCAGTCAAAATATTTCCCTCATCCCTAATATTAGGCATTAAGGGGGATTTCAGTATACAATAGTTTAATGCAACCCCCTGTTGAAAAATACCTTAAGTATGCTATATTATTGATCAAGATGATGTACATTTTGTTGATATTAAGAAAATAAAATTAATTGTAAATTAGTAATGTTTCAGTAGTCATACATACTTTCTAAATGCTGTTCTTGTTTAGATTAAAAGTACTGATTCATGATGTTTGCAGTAAATACGGTATGATTTTTCTTCTTTTAGGTGAATGTTGGGTGTGTACCTAAAAAGGTAAAAGAATTTATGCATTTGCTAATATTTCAAAAAATACATGGAACTTCTTTGCTGATCTTTTGAAAGTGCTTGAAGACCCAGCTGTTTCAGAGAACTTTTCCCTGAATTGATGTGATGTTGCCAATCTTTTATATTCTCCTTGGCATTCAGAATTGTTTTGATTGTGGTGCCATAGAAAGGTGTTTAATAAAAAACAAATAAAAACATGAAGTGGATACTAGTCCTCAAAATGTGCTAAAATATGCTTTTAAATAATTGAGGGATGTATCTATCCTTGATTTGGAATGCAAAACAGTTCTTTAGCAGACGTTGGCCATGTGGTTTGGAGAGAAAGATAACAATCCTAGGCTGCATTAATGGAGGGATAGAATCAAGATTACGTGAAATATTAGTATTGCTTTATAAAGGCCACACTTTGAATAGTGCATCCGGTTTTGATCACCATATTATCAAAAAGATGTGGAGACTCTGGAAAGAGTGTAGAAAAGATCAACCCAGGTGATTAGGGGGCTGGAGACTAAACATATGAAGAACAGTTGCAGGAATTGGGTTTGTCTAGTCTTGTGAAACGAAGGAAGAGAGGTGACATGATAGCAGTGTTCCAATATATGAGGGGTTGCCACAAAGAAGGGGGGGTCAAACCTACTTTCCAAAACATCTACTTTCCAAAACAAGGTAAGAAACAATGGATGGACACTAAATAAGGAGAGAAGCAAGTTAGAATTGAGGAGAAATTGCCAAGCCATGAGAACAATTGACCAGTGAAAAGAGCTTGTCTTCAGAAGTTGTGGTCCCTCCATCACTGGAGGCTTTTATGAAGTGACTAGACAGCCATTTGTCTGAAATGGTATAGGTCTTCTGCTTGAGCAGGAGGTAGGACTAGATGATCTCTAAGATCTCTTCCAACTTTGTTATCTGTTATTTGTACTGTAAGACATCTGAAGAACAGTGTTGCTCTTTTACTCTGCTTTACCAAAACACCTAACAAAAATGCCGTCACAAAAAGTATTTCACAGCTTTTTCTCTCAAGATTCAAGGAAGACATGGAAGTACTTTCTTGTCATGAAACATAACTTCTGCTGCCTTTTTTCAATACCACAACTGTTTTCATGGCTTTTAAAATTTAGTCCTGGTTTGAGGAGCAGATGCGTGGAAATTAAAATAAAATTGAAAATATAATTTCATTTATTAAATCTCCACTTTCATATGGAAGTCTAACATAATTGAGGAGCCTCTGTGGCGCAGTGGTTAGAGTGCAGTACTGCAAGCTACTTCTTCAGCCAGCTGCCTACAATTTGGCAGTTCAAATCTCACCAGGCTCAAGGTTGACTCAGCCTTCCATCCTTCCGAGGTGGGTAAAATGAGGACCCAGATTGTTGGTTGCAATAGGCTGATTCTGTAAACCGCTTAGAGAGGGCTGTAAAGTGGTATATATGTTTAAGTGCTTATTGCTTATAATCCAAATTGCATGCCGTAATTGTACTGAAATGACCAAATATGAGAATAAGATTTAAAAGAACTTCAATGATTTTACCAATTTAAAATTGGTACCAGTTGAAAAAACCCTGATCTGATTTCCTCATCCCTTATTTGACCTTCATAGCTTTTTTTTAAATATTTTTTTTATTGATTTTTAAAAACAAACATAAACAAACAAAACATAAAACATAAAAACATAAAACATCTTTTTTGAAAGCAGCTTGATCCAGGGTTACATCTCTTCATACAGACACAAATTCAAATTCATGTTCATTTTATATACCATTCCCTATCTTATTACCATTCTACATTTTCTATATAGCTTCTCCCCTCTTTTAACTTTCTTAATTTTATTTATTTCATCTCAATTCAGATCATTATACTTATATTCTTTGTCCTGTTTCCAGCTGTCTATTATCTTTTCTCATTAGACAAAATTTCTCCTGTAATCACTGATTGGAGTATGACGCCTTGACCTTCATAGTTTTGAAACAACTGCAACAAAGTTGTTAAATGGGGATTGTCTAGTCTGCCCTTTTGGAACTCCCGTTGTCCTCTGTCTGGATGATGCCTTTCCTTCTGTTAGCTGCTGATTAAACACACAATTTTTAAGGCCCCCAAACTGTATTTGCCAATATAAACATGATACCAATCTTACAGACCAAAAGTGCAAAAGATTAGTTGGCAAAGCCTGCCTTCTAGAGTAGTGGGTGCTCCATCACTGGGGGTTTCCAAAGTAAACTGGACAACCACTTGACCGGGATGATATAAAATCTCCTGCCTTGAGGAAGAATTGGACTAGAAGACCTCTGAGGTCCCTTCCAGCCTGATGATTTTATGTTCTGTGTTCTATAGCAGGGGTCGCCAACCTTTTGGACCTCAGGGACCACCAAACTCATCATTTTAAATCCCGCGGACCAGAGTCCCTGGGAAAATCCCCCCAAAAGTTTGCAGGAGAATTCCCCACCCCGTTTTCCTACTGATTGATCATTCTTTATTTGAGATCGCAGGATACTGTCTCCAGCTCCATTCTCAGGGAAAGAGAGAGAGACTTTTGGCTTCATGCAGGTAAAGCAGCAGAAGTCTTTCTTTCTCTCCCCCAAACTCCACCAGGAATGAGTCTTTGCCGGTGCAGCCTCTTGGAGCAGGAGGCCTTGCAGGTCCCAAAGACTCATTTCTGGTGGAGTTTGGGGGAGAGAAAGAAAGACTTTTTCTGCTTTCCTTGTGTGCAGCCAAAAGCAGAAGAAGAAAGAAGCAGAAAGAAGCAGCTCAGTGGCCAGGCCAGGCACGTGGGGCTAGTGGGACAAGCTCCCCCCTCTGCCTTTCCCCCCTTCCCTCACTACCTCGTGTTGCTCGCAATGCAAGCGACGCAAGCCTTGTGTTCCAGAGGGCCATGTGGGTGGTGCAGCCTTGTATTCCCATGCATCCTGGATTAATTGCTTTGAAGGGGACATTTCTCTGCAGACCACCAAAATTTTCTCGCGGACCACCAGTGGTCCCCGGCCCACTAGTTGGCGACCACTGTTCTATAGTTAAGATTTACATTGGTCAAAATAGATGGTATTCTGATACTGATGATATTTCTTGAAAGAAGTTAATCACTGTCAAGTTCCTTTTATCAGGCTGAACTTAAAAGATATTTTCTCCTCTTCTTCCTCCAAAATGCAGGGGAAATTGATAAATTGGTTGCCCAGGCCCATATGTGTTCCATTAGTCACAACTGAACATAGTGCATTAACCACACATGGTCTTGAAAAATATGACTGTTTTGCCATCTACCAATGATTACAAAACAAGGAGCTTGCTGCTTCTTCATAGACCACAATATGTAGTGTAACTACTGGATTACATGCACCATGACAATGATGAGTTATGAGTCCTGATCTGTCCCATCCAATGTCTTTGAGTAGGAACTCCAAGTTTTGTACTTCTCTCTTGCTGCAGTCACTTTCATGAGATGGGCAATGTAGAATGAATAAACAAATAAATAAAATATTGATATATGCTGTTCACAAGAATACCGTAATTAATTGACTTTGCTCATTCATTTTTATATTAATTATATTGAAGTATGAATGTCCTCTTTCATAACAGGTGATGTGGAATACTGCTGTCCATTCTGAATTCATCCATGATCATATGGATTACGGTTTTCAAATAGCTGATGTGAAGTTTAATTGGAAGTAAGTTGAGCTAAGTTCTGGAATACCTCTTAAGTAAAATAAATGGATAGAATTGTTTCTAATTAGAAACATACAGTGAAAACTATAATGTCAGTTAAAATGACCTCCAGTAGGCTTTTCAGACACACATATCCAGATTTTTTATCTTATAAGATTCCAATGCTCTATCAATTCTGAAGAATCTTCATTATGGACCAAAACTGGTGGTTATGTACCGCCTAAAATTCATAATTTAAAGCTTACAGAGTATAATATACTGATATTATTTTTATTCTAAATAATCTCACTTTGATTTTTGAGTTATCTATGAGCTTTATTCTTAAATTCTTATAAGAAATCATGATTGAACTGGGACTTGTGAAAAATCAAAACAGTACATGCTCAGAATTTAATTTTGAGCCTGCTATAAATAGTTCATATATTAGGGTTTGCTTTGACAGTAGTGTTCCCTGTAGTAACAAGCATTGAGATACACCATTTGCATTGTCTAAAATGCTGTTTTAGGTATAGCAAATAAACGTTATTTTGTATGATGTATAATGTGCTATAGGATAGAATAAACCTCTTTCTGCAAGGAAAACATTTTAAATTGTGAAACAGGACTATAATTTTTCTGCATAATATCTAAGTTTATTATTTAGGAAAAAGATACCTATGCAGATTTGGAGCAAATAGTGTTATATTTTAATCCAGTTTGTAGAGAGATAAATATTTGAGATGTAAATTTAGAAAGCCCATGAGGAATAACAATTTGAGTGAGGCTTAGGAAATCCAATTTAACGCTTAGCTGTGGAAATCCATTGGGTTGGGCTATCTCTCTGTCCAAACTACCCAAAAGGTTTGTTTTTGTGAGGATACATTGGAAGAGGGGCTTTATGTGTTTCTTAGGGAAAAGTAGGATATAATACTAATAAAAGTCTTCTTACTGTAGAATAATTAAAGAAAAGCGGGATGCTTATGTGAAGAAACTGAATGAGATCTATCAAAATAATTTGAATAAGGTTTGTAAATGGCCTTTTTTCACTTCAACAAATTTTAAATTCCTTCTTTCTGCTATAAACCCTGTGAATTCACAAGCTGAAAATAGAAATCTGTGGTTGATTAATTTTTAATTCGCATCAAGGTGTATAGAGTTTTTTTTTTTAAAAAAAGATTCAGAGCAAATCACTTGGGTAAAACTTGCTTTTTTGCTTAAATGACAGATGAGCAACTCTTCCTCTGCACAAAATTTAATTTCCTATTGTTTAAAGATGGGAAAGACATGAAAACTGTAAATGTAAAACAAATATTAGTACAGTTAAAGAAAAAAGTCAACTCTTACCCCTCTCTCTTGAGAAAAAGATTCAACTCCAGATCACTTACAGGGCATATCTTAATTCATTGCAGTTAGTCTACATTTCAAAACTATAATTTTCACGGTCTTGATAGGCCATCCTGTGAATGATGTAGTTTGTTTCTGAAAGGTGTAAGGATTATGCAATAGAGAGATTAGTTCTGGTCAAAAAAATATGGGAATTTAAAGTAAAATAATGCATCTTATTCCATTCTTCTGTTTTGGAAATTTATCTACAAATTTATTGTAAAATTCAATTATTTAAATGCATCATATGCAGTCTCAAATTACACTATGTTATGATGCCCTTCTTTAGTATATAAATAGATTTAATTTTTAAATCAATTGGTTTTGCTAGGACCACGTGGAAACCATTCGTGGGCATGCATCATTTACAGCTGACCCTGAACCTACAATTGAAGTTGATGGCAAAAAATACACTGCACCTCACATACTGATTGCGACTGGTGGACGGCCTGCATTTCCCAGTGAAAGTGAAATACCAGGTATGGGTTCTGGTATGCTGTTTGCCCTATTTTTAAGAAAGAGCATGCAGCTGAGTTGACATTAAAATATTTTCCTTAGCATTGCCAAAGATTCAGTAGCACAGTACATAGGTGCCATGTAATATTTCATTAACACCTTCTTAATAGTATACTCTAACAAATAGTTAACTAACTGAATGTTTCTGCAAGTTACATCTATTTATATCTAAAGCTGAAGATGATGAATATTGAAAATAATGTCTTGTTGCTTTGCAGGAGCCAGTTTGGGAATCTCTAGTGATGGTTTCTTTGAACTTGAAGAGTTGCCCAAGTAAGTTGCAATTAATTTTGAGCATTTTTAATATTCTCAATTTGCCACATTGCAGTGAAGATTATCTTTTAAAACAGGTAGGGATTATTATACTCCAGTCTTTCATTCCCCACTAAAAGATGTAGACAGCAAGCTAGCATTGCTACAAGGCTACAGTAATTGTCCGTCCTACATTTCAGATTTGATGAACCTCTTATCAGCCCAGATCTGGGACTCATCTTACACCCTTCTAGGCGTTACCTTTTGCAGCGGAAACATCTTCTCTATTTCAGTTCTAGCCCACTACTGAAATAAGATGAAGGCAAAAACAAAGTGCTGTTTGCTATGGGGAAATTAGAGGAAAACATGTGGGAAAATACAGAGAGAGGGAGCACTGTGCACACCAACTTGAACTCTAGAAGGAAACCCAGGATATAAAACCAACAACAGGAAAAACAAATCCTCCCATTGAAGGATTATCCCATTGCTAAGCATCTGGCTGCAGGACTCTGGGCCTCTGTGAGCGGTTGTGCTGTAGACATCAATGCAGCTAGTTCGCTTTTGTTGTTCACTTGTGTGAATGTCAACTTCATGGTCAATGTTCCTATCAACAAACAGAATAAGCTTCTATTGAAGGTACTGGCTTCCAGTAAAGAAATTGTAGGGGGATGCAGTACTTTTTAAAAAAATCCTATTTTTCTCTCTCTCATTTTTGCTCATTTGGTGATCAGTTTAGAGTAGAAAGCAGGAAATGAAGTAAAGCGCTGTGGCTTTTCTATCACTCTTCCTTGGTCACAATTAACTGAAGGTGAATTCATCTGTCCTTACATTCCTTTCATTTTTTGTTGCTGATATTTGAGAACCTCATCCTGTACATGCCATTAGCCAAGGCTGGTTCTTTAGGGCTGAGAAAAAGCAGGCAATGTTTGCTAAAAGCCTGGATTTGTAAGTGAGAAGGCATGGCAGTGGTGGTGGGGCTCCCCACTCATCCCTCCAAGTAGAAGAGGGGACTGAATGCTGCTTTCCCAGCCAAGATCCCTTTCGTCTATTTTTAAATGTAAGATGTGTGTGAATAGATAGACCTTCTTTACCAAGTGCTTTGTGCAGTGAGTGAAGTTAAGATGGTGGTGAAAGAAAATAATTTATAACCAAGGCATGGCATTTACAATCATCACAGCATTTCTCTCTCTCAATCATGCATTCAGTATTAGTCAATAATTGTTGTCCTATGCCTGATTCATTCTCTCCCCCACCCACCTAGCAGATTGTCTAAATAAGCAATCTCTTTAGACAATTTCTCCTCTGCCTGACTCTTTTTCTTTTTCTCAACCCTCCTCACAAAGCAGAAAGTTTGGAAAGGGATTACAAGAGAATAAGTAGGCAGATAATGGGGAATACCCCAGGCTGGGTGCTGGCAGCACTGCGTTGCTTTCTATGTGTGTTCCTTACTGTGTGCTTGCTTATTCTCTTGTAATTCCTTCCATTCCAACAAATGTAAATACAAACCTTCCCTTCTTGCTAATTATCCCAGCATTGATTACCATTTGTCCTTTCTGATTTAATGAAAGCCAAATTAGATACAAAATCTAATTGCTTAGGTTATAAATTGGATAGAAACAGCTAAAGCCCTTTAGGCATTTGTTCGTTGTTTTATACCACTGCAATCAAAAGTCTTTTGGGGGAACACCATCCAAAACATGGGAATTGAATCATTAAAAGAAGTATTGAAAGCAATAAACTCATTAATATTATTATTGAATTAACTGCTTTCATTAAGCCTACTCAGCATGGGAAGTGGTAAAAAATGATGGGATTTGAATCTAATAAATGTGAAGAAGTTTGGACTTTCTGGTGTGGCCAATACATATTTAAATGAGCAGATTAGTGGAAGAGGACATCCACCTGAAAGATATGACATATAATCCATTTTCTTTCTCTTAGGCGAAGTGTTATTGTTGGTGCTGGATATATAGCTGTTGAATTAGCTGGTATTCTTTCTGCATTAGGCTCCAAGACGTCCTTATTGATACGTTATAATGAAGTAAGGGCCTCTCACTTATTCACCTTTCTATGTGATAGTTTAAAGTACTACGAGTTCTTGTTGGAACTCACAGGGAGAATATAAACTTGCAAAAAGGCAGAATCAGTTTATCTGTGTCCATATTTACACCAGGAGTGGATCGTTTATAGACTGCATTATACAATATTTGTTTTTTAACCATATGCAGACCCTTAAAAAGTTTGCTTTTATTTTTTAAGTATTGATAATCTGACATTTTTTTTAAAACCTACTCATTATTTTTTCACTTCTTGATTATAATTAGAATTAAACCTCCTTTTAAAATCAAGATGCACTATTTTCTCTTGGAAATTCAGAACCACTTGCTAATAATATTCTTGTCCAATTATGTGTATTTGTATGTTTACTATTTATTTCGACAGACATTTTCAATTTCTCCATCTCTTCCTCTTCACATTGTCATTCCTTTTGATTGAAGTCTATGGTATATTTCTGATTGTAAGATCTAGTATGATGTAGTAGCTAGAACAGAATATAGATGTAAGGAGAATTTAATTTCCAACCTAAATTTAACCATGAAAGTTGCGGTGTGCTCTTAGGCTATATTATTCAGTCTTACAGTGAGATTATGAAATTTGAATGACACATGTAGTACATACAGTAGATTTATTCTTAATAACTTTGGCAATAGCTCTATAGTAGATGTCAATTTAATTGTGAAGTTGAATAAATTTGAGAGAAATTTGCATTTCGGAGTTCAGGCTTGTGAGGGTGTGACTTAGATGTTCTGTGATATTGATCAAACAAAGGAAGTTACTATAATTAAATGTAAGTAAAGACCTTGACTTGCAGTCTGATGAAGTATTTTTTTTTTTTGTATAGGTGCTGAGAAATTTTGATTCAATGATCAGTTCAAACTGCACCCAGGAATTGGAACATAATGGAGTAGAAGTTTGGAAACATTGCAAGGTAAACTCTCTTTAGTGCTGGATTGTAATGATTAATTTTGAATGTTCATGTATAAGTAGGCTTCGAGTTATGACAACTGAGATTGGCATTGTCATTGCGAAGCAATGCAGTTGGAAAGCATGTCATGTGAGTGCATTGGTTAGCAACAGCAATCCAGGTAATCCAAATTGTTCTTGTTAAACAAATCCCATCAGTTCTTAAACAAGAACCCACCCTGATCCAAACCACTCCTGGCTTAGTCCCTCCCAGCCTTGTGTCTGGGCCAGCTAAGGGACTGATTCCTTTTCAACTCCTCCCACCCACATATCTCCCCCCATCCCCTCTCTGCCATTTTGTACTCTTGTCACTTCTGCCAGCCTGTGCTTGCTGGTCTTCCCAGACCTGCCACTCCCAACTGGTATTTGCCCTCCTCTTCCTGTGACCGCTGATGAGATGCACACAGCTTGGCCTTTCACAAGACAACTGCTGGCTATCCCAGCCTTGTTTTTAAGGCCACACACACTTTTGGCCAAATTGTGTATGGGCTTGAATAATTTCATTCCAGCACAGCTGGACCTTCTTTCATGCACCTGCCTTCCAAAAGTTGACAAGGTCTCATGCGATTTGGACAAGAGGTGGGCGCAGCCTACTGCTGCTCATGGAGGACCAAGCCAGGTGCACCTCATAAATGGTGGTAGGGAGATGGGTGAGTCATCAAGACTGGGCGGCAGGGCCTGCAAGTGTAGGGAACAGGAGTGGTAGGCATGGCCAACAGAGCATAGGGCAGTTAAAAGGGCAGAAAAGGGAGAGATGGGCAGATGAGGTCAGTTGAACTGCCCCTGCAGTCAGTCATAAGTGCCCAAATTTTGGTTTCTTGACCATGGGAGAAATGCAACAGCTGTAACTACAAGGGCTGTGTGGAACTACCTTTTTTTTTTTCAGCACCACCTTTAGCGTAATTTTGAGCGATTGCTGAATGAATGGTTACAATTCGAGAACTATCCATGCATAATTTTTCTTTAGTTGCAGCTAGGTCATTCTGGCGTCAGTTGGAAGCGCCCATTTCATTATGTACTATTGCTTTAACAACTGCAGAACAATATGAGTTTGAGAAACTGAGCTTAGCTTTATTCTTTTGAGCATGTGTATAAATGATCCAAATGTTGCCGTTTGAGAGAAAGCAAAAACAAATCATCCCGCATATGGCTTTTCTTTCTCATAAATGAACAACAGCTATTGTATTAATAGTTTTTGCAGCATTCCTGAACAGATTGAAAGGAGTTTTGCAGTATTATATTTTTATCATTATGTTTAAGGAATTTTCCTTGTAACCAGGATTACATATTAATAACCTGCATTGCTCACTCTGTCAAATTGCTTTGTAAGAATTGAGGCCAGGACTATTTAGGCCCTGAGCTTTATCTGGATGTTACCAGTAGGATTTTATGTCAGAGTTTTGTTTACTTATTTTAGACTGGTTAAAAGCTATAAACAAGATTTAATTGATATATAACAGTAACATTTTAGTAAAATTTTGAGGCCATAAACTTTGAATCAAAAACAGTCTTCTAATTTAACATACAAACCAATCAACTTTATTTGAGAATCAGATTTAAAAAACCCTGGACATTACAGAAGCATAAAAAAAACAATCCTGCCAAAATAGATTTAGTTTACGCAGATTTGAGCATACTTTAAAAAAGGAGTATTTTAAAAGAGAAATTAGATGACAAAACTGGCAACTGAGCAAGTTTTGCACATCACCCATGGTGATAATTCTTCACTTTGTAATTATAATGTTTCATGAGACCAATGCAGGATATTTGAGCCTTATCCTCTGACCTCAGTAAACATATCTGTGTCTCTTCTGGCATTTGGAAACTTCAGAGCCATTGTACTCACCTTTGCTTTTTTTCTTCACATGCAAGTAGGGACTCTCAACAAAACTGTATACAGTACAGATAATCCTTGACTTAAAACCATCATTTGGTGACTGTTTTAAGTTATAATGACATGAAAGAAGTGACTTAAAACCAGTTTTCATACTTATGGCTATTGCAGCATTCTTAGTCACATGACCAAAATTAAAGTTCTTGGAAACATATTTATGACAGTTGCAGCATCCCAAGGTCGTGTGATCACTATTTGTGATCTTCCCAGCCAGCTTCCAATAAGCAAAATCAATGGGGAAAGCTGGATTTGCTTAATGATTGTGTGCTTCACTTAAGAGTTGCAGTGATTTGCTTTACACTTATATGGCAAAAAGCTCATAAAATTACGTATGGCTCACTTTGCTTTTCACCTTGCTTAGCAACAGAAATTTTGGTCCCAATTGTGGTTGTACGTCAAGGACTACCAGTACTACCTAATTCTAGCCATAAAGTGTATGTAACGTCACAACACACAGACATTTAGTGAGGAGGGTGTTTTTGAAGAAGAAAACTAAGACTTGAGCCTTAAAAAAAACCATTTGTTGTTTGATCTTGCTCTAGCATTCTTCAATAATCTTGTTTCTCAACAGGTTCAGTCAGTTACAAAATCAGCATCAGGGCTCTTGGCAGTAACAGTTACATCCTCTTTTCCTAATCAAAAACCTACTGTGAACACTATTGAGAATGTTGACTGTCTCTTGTGGGCCATTGGTAGAGAGCCCAATACTGAGAAGCTAAACCTTGACCAATTGGTAAGTGGGAATTTTGTTTCTTGATGCTGTACGGAATATTAAATGCATGACATGCACAATCCAGATTATATTGCAATTGGCATGTGGTGGTTAGGGTTAACTGTAGAGAATAGCCATGATCGACAATGGAATGTTTTTTCTTACTTTTGCTGCTACTTGCTGTTCTGTATTTTTCCCTACTAGAGAAAAAAATGTAACAAATATGGTAACTCTGGGTGGTACACTAAAACATGGGGGGCAGAGACAGTTGATATTCCATGGCTCAGCTTCCCACCCTGTGTCCCATAATAATTGTATCCTAACCTAAATGTTTGTTCATATTGCATAGATCAGTTAGCCTGAAAAATGGTTATAGAAATGTTATTTTTTTTCAAAGCTCTTGATATTATGGATAGGCTGATTGCGTGTTTACTTTTTGAAATAATTTCCTTCTTTTCCTTTATATGAGCACTAAAAAAGTTGATACCATACTGCTCACTCTTTGTCTTGGGTAGTATTTCTTAGGATTCCAGCTTTGACTTTAATTTTTCTTCCTACTATCAGAATATTAAGGTAGACAAGAGAGGCCACATTATTGTTGATGAGTTCCAAAATACCAGCAGAAAGGGGATCTATGCTGTTGGAGACGTATGTGGGAAAGCACTCCTCACACCAGGTAATAATGTTTTAAGGACTTTTATCAAATAAATTCATTTGGGATTCTAAAATGGAACAAAGCAAAATGGGTGAGGAAGGGCTGTGAAGACATGGGAAGGGTAGCTTGACCACCTATTAATGCTATGTAATAAAATGTATGGAACAAATTACTACTACACAATGAATATTGCATTTTTCAGTTGCAATTGCGGCTGGAAGAAAACTGGCACATAGGCTTTTTGAAAATAAAAAGGATTATAAACTGGACTATACCAACATTCCGACTGTGGTTTTCAGTCATCCACCAATTGGAACAGTGGGACTAACAGAAGGTAAGCTCTTGTTTCTCTGCTTTTTTCCCCCAATAAATAAGAAAGATATGAAATAGAACCCTTACTAAAATGAGATACCCCTACTATCTATGGATTTTGTGACTGATTGGAATTGTGTTGAATAATATATGGAGAGTAAGTAGGTTTCCCAATTTCCTTTGGGACATTCTCTACAAGAGTGGCTTGGTAAGGATGTATATGCTCTGAATTTGTATATTAACAGGATGTTGATGGAAATTCTACTTATGTTTGTTTATATTATTGATGCACAGGTCACTCCTACCTCTGATAAAGTAATATAAATTATGGACTATGGATAGAGCCAGTTTGGTGTAAGTTAAGGCATCAGGCTAGAAACTGGGAGATTGTGAGTTCTAATCTTGCCTCAGGCACAAAATCAGTTGGGTGATCTTGAACAAGTCACTTTCTCTCAGCCCTAGGAATGAGGCAAGAAAAATGACAAGCCACTTCTGAAAAACCTTGCAAAGAAAACTTCAGGGACTTTTACAGGCAGCTTCTGAGAATTGGGTACAACTGAACAAAAGAAAAAAAAGCTGAACTGGGAATTATCACACATTCCTGTTGTTTCGCTTTATATTAGACATTCCCAAGTTCAGAATACTGTTACCCATCATGTTATTTTATTGTTTAAACATTTTAAAAAATTTAATGAGAAGTATGAATAAAGCACCTCTATTCATAGGATTTTTGAAGCTGAAATTACAAACTGATATCAAGCTTGGTTTTTTAAAAAACTAAACAAACTGCACATCAAATTCTAAGATGTGACACATGTAATAGAGTCTCAGTTGGTAAACTTGTGATCTTCAAGTTCTTTTGGACAAGTCTTTTCATAATTAGAACCACTGAGGTGTGTAATTGAGCCACATGTGAAGGAGACCAGTTCACCTATCACCAAACTTGTCAATATTTAATCCTTTTGAGATGTACGTATTATATAGGATTTGGTAGTACTGTCAGAAAGCCAACTGCATGAGATTCTTTGCTTTTTTTTCTCCCCCGTATTCAAATATAACTAATGTCATTTGATTTTGTTCCAGCGGAAGCCATAAATGCACATGGAAAAGAGAATGTGAAAATTTATATGACTTCTTTTGTCCCTATGTACCACGCCATAACAGAAAGGAAAACAAAATGCCTGATGAAATTGGTCTGTGCCACTAAACAAGAAAAAGTAAGTATAAAGCAGGGAAGAGTGAAGATGTTGCATGTTAAAATTTTGCATGCTTTTCATGTACTGTATATTCTATTCAGGGTAAGGAAATGAGATGGGAGAAGATACCAATGTTACTTAACATGTAAGCGGGATCAAAACATCGCACCCAATCTTTGCTTCTCGAATAAACTCTAATTAGCTAGTCTCACACATCTTATTAAACCTAACTCACATCAAACCAATATTTAGTCTACGTCTGTAGCAATTTTGAGTTGTACCATTTAATACTCTTCCAGGCATGATGTATTAAGATTTTGTATAAAATTAGTAAATGACACAGCAATACAAAAAAAAAATTGTAGGTGTACAAAATATTGCTCCTAGTGTAAAAAGATAGGAGCAACTGTGAAGTCTGAAAAAAAATGTCCCTTTGAAGCCATGTCCTTAACCTTAACCTGCCTGTTTTGTTTTAAGGTGGTAGGACTTCATATGCAAGGTTTGGGGTGTGATGAAATGCTCCAAGGTTTCGCAGTAGCTGTCAAGATGGGAGCAACAAAGGCTGACTTTGATCAGACGGTGGCTATTCATCCAACTTCTGCAGAAGAACTTGTTACGCTTCGTTAAGCTTACATAACTTGGCTTTCCCCATGGTGAATTAAATACTTTTTTTAAAATAAAACTCTACAGTTCAAGAGAAGTCTTCATTCTGCTGTTACAAATTAAATTTCATGGATGTAATTTAAAAAGCCTCCTTTTTTGACCTAGTTTCCTTGTGATCATTTAGACATATTCATAGTGACTTTGGCATCAATATAGAAGTGATCTGTCATTGCTTTCTGGCATGCTGTTTTCAGGTTCCCAGTGTAGCCTGCTTTAGTGTTTTCTAGTGGTCTCCTATCCAAGTACTGGCCAGACTCAACCCTACCTAGTTAGCCTTTGAGCAGAGACAAAAGTAGTAAGATGCTACCACCTGTTGAGACTGCAATAAAATGTGCTAAAATGACAAGCAAATTATCATATAACTTCATACTTTAAGCCCAAAGAGGAAGTAAAATCTAAGAGTAAAGCAGAAAAAAACCCATTTTGGACTATAGAGGAACAAATGGAGGAAGTACTGCAATTATAAACTCTATAATAATTAGTATTTTGGTTTACTGAGCCTTGGATTGTGAAAGATACCATTTCCTGCCTATTGGGAAGTGTAACCATGTAGAACTTACCTCATAAGAGTTTAGTAAGAGCGGTACTTTACTAATTCTGTAAAACTCTAAACATTTAGTTTAATTTATGCTATCTCCCTTTGATTTATTTCCCACAGAAATTACCAATGTACAGGTATTTATAACTATAAATTAGGGAACAAGCTTTTCATCACAAGAATTAAATTCTACCAAGCAATATCACATTCTGTAAAGCATAGCGGTAAGAGTTCCCATTCAATTATAACATTAAGCAATATTAATTTCTCTGTTATGAGAACTGAAAAATGTGGATTGGGGAGATCGCTGCATCCTAGGTGCTATATATCACTATACTCTTCTGTTTGTTATTGCTGTGAGGCCATAGGGCTGATTGCTATCACCTATTTAGCACAGCATAGGGAGCACATATAGCTTTTAAGGGATGCTATGGACATGGGTGACTTTTGTTCCACTGCCGTCTCCCTACATAAGATTTGTATATAATTACATAGTGTGTATATGTTTATTTTTTTGCCATGTTATCATACATTAAATAATATACAGCTATATATTGCTACTGCATTACTGAATCAGCAGCTAGTAAGATATTTATTCACTTTCACAAAATATTTGCAATTCAAAATATTAATTCTAAAATATACTTGCACATAAGTTCTGTATAATATAATGGGACTAATGAACATCATTCTAGGAATTTGTCCCATTGCATTTTCACAAATACTAAATTAAATGGGATGCAGAAAATCTTGCAACGTTTGTGTCCTGTTAAGAGAATTGGGCTATTTGTATTTTATGTTCAGTTTACGTTACTTTAGTAAGTTTATAGCATCATTTTGCCCTTCATTTAAAACAGATTTAAACTTGAGGTTTCAAGTGTACTATTTTAAATTCACTAGTTTAGATCTGAAGTCTTTAAGCTTTTGGATTACATTTACCAAACTTAAATATATTTGGGGTTAAAAGAACACAAGATGGTGGTCATTTTGAATTTCATCTTAATAGTAGGCTTGAAAATTTAATTAAAGAATTCTATATGCCAAGGTCTCCAGTGAAATTTGTCATCCAAACACATACTCCGAGTGGCAATATCTAGCCAAGTTCTTTCAATTTCCAGTCATAATCTGTCACCTGATTTGTCTTATACAATGAAGCAGATAATTATTTGTATGCACGCTGAAGAGAAACACAAACAGATAAATTATTCCATTTCAGCATATCCATCTGTTTGGAATAATGATCTGCAGATTTATTTGTTCAAATACATCAATAAGATGCAAGCACTTTCATGACAAATATACAGAAAAAAGGGATCAACACAGAACAGTAACCTAGTTTAAATGGAAAGAAAGCTTATGACAATATACTCCCAAGAGATTTCTTTTCTCCAGTTAAGTTACTTATGTCAATAAAATAGAGGGCAATAGGCTTAAGAGGGACATTAGTTTGTAGATTTTCATTAAACTTCAAAATGTTAATACATGCCAGTTGAACACTACAACTAAAATGTACATATAAGCAAAAAAGGGAGAAATTAGTTACCTCTTCTCTCTGAACAGTCCAGTTACTACAGTTATAGCAGGCAAACTGGCTGTTGGATTGACTGATAAAAGGTTTAGTGTGTGAAGTCAGTCTTATGTTGTGCTCAAAACTGCTCATCCTCATTCTGGCACAGTTTGGTCCATAAAGAGGCTTTAGGCTGAGACAGACCTCAACTTATCAAATAAATTGTTGCTTTAAAAAAAAGCCAAGTATACTAGTACTGCTGAAGGCCAGGCTGAGATGTTTATAGGAAGTAATCTGGAGTACGCCGAGTTACATGAGGCTCTCCACGGCGAGGTGCTGGGTCAAACTGAAGGCTGTAGAAAGAAAACAAAAGCACTTCTGTTAACTGATTATGAACGTATAGACTTATTTATATGCGATTCTCAACTTGTAAAGGATATTAATATTGATGTTAGTATTTATGTAATCCATATGCATATAATCAAGTCAAAATAGGTTTTAAGTGTTAAGAAGGTATTTTTTTTGGTAAAAAGATGCTATACCACAAACAAGCAATGTTTGAGAAAGAGTAGTTTTCTGGAGGAGTGCAGGACTCCAACAAATAATACTGACATCTGAAATATTTCTATCAGGTTTTGAGCAGACAGGGTGTTTAAGGGTGGGTGGGCAACAACTGGCATCTTGGACAAGCACCTCCCATTCTAAGCTTAAAATCACCTAATCCTTGGAAGAAGGCCGAAATCCAGCTATTTTATCTGAGCTTAGGTTGTTGTGGAAAAGGGACACATACAACTTGCTTTCAGGTTCTGTACTATGTTTTGAGATACTTATAACAGGACTAAACACTATGCATTTGTAATAAAACCAAAAGAAAATATTTTGCACTAACTGAAACGAAAGGTACAATTTAAATGACCCTTTTTATATTACTCTAAAATTAGATTATCAAAGAGATCTCCAACCTAGAACTAAGGAGAAATTTCCTGACAGTGAGAACAATTAATCAGTGAAAGGGCTTGCCTTCAGAAATGGTGGGTGCTCCATTACTGGAGGATTTTAAGAAGAGACTGGACAACCACTTGTCAAGAATGGTGTGGGGTATCTGGGGTTGGGCTAGCTAGAAGAACTCCAAGGTCTGTTCCAATTCTGTTATTTTAAGTTCTACTGAGTCCTATTTTAAAAAGGTTGTCTTGTCTAATCATAACTAGGAAAAAAACAGCAAATTTCAATTCATGTGTTCTCAATTCTATCATGTCTTTCACAAACTCTGTTCACATAACGTATTCAACCAGTTTAGTTAAAAACCTAATAACTATTTGTGCACATCCCACGCTAAATATGTATTTACCTTAGTTCATTTGGTTTGATTTTTCTGTGGCAAAATTACAACCTATTGGGTTAGTTTATGGCTCACGTTAGAAAAATTACAATCTTATTTTTCTGCTAAAATATATTTTGTTAAAACTGTAGGTTCTTACAAGGAATATTTTAAAGTGTCATCTAGTTCCATGATAGCAGCCTGATTTCCACAACGGTAACAGTAATTAGGTGCGCTGAAAATAGTGACTACATTTCGATCATGGCACCAGTTGTAGCCCTGTAATGGGAGAAAAATAGTTTCAATAACACAAGATACATGACTTCAGTAAGAGACATCCAACAAACACCTTGCTTTATCTTTTGCAAATGTGTTTTACTGAAATGTAATAAGACATTAACAGTGAGTTTAATGCACTCTGAGATGAAAAATCTTAACTGTTCATGTCTTCCACAAAATTCTTTAAAATATTACCCGTAGATCATTAATATCATAAACCTTTGACTTATGTTTGTATAATGAAGCACTAAACACATGTCTTTTAAAAAGTGTTCCAATTCACTCATTTAAAATTTATGTCAAACTGAGACTTCATTAAGATTGATAAAATATAAAGCTACTTAGAATTGCAGAGGTATCACACGAGTGACTGATGAAGGAATTTACAAAGTCTGAAGAGGAGACTGGATTAATGTATTAGTTGAAATTTGCTCCATATATATAAAGGTCAGTACAATATATATATTGTATTGACCTTTAACCTACTGGAAAAAAGCAATTATAGTGAGACTATATATACTAAGCTGTGATATTCAGATCCAAAGACAGATAAGTACTTCCACTGAGATTTGTATGCTCACTATACCAGTCAGCAGAACTTTAAAGAAATCGAATCTTTCCATGATCTTGCACAGCCATACATGGTACCACAAAAAATGCATTTTGGCTAAAGAGACAGTAACATGTCTCTGCTATGACAAGCATTTATCTGAAAATGCAAGATTACAGGTCTAAGAAAAAGCATGGTTGCTGAGGGGTTCAGCTAGTGGAACTGTGCCATATCTGAAACACCTCTGACATTTCAGATTTATTTATTTCCTTCATATAAACTTTTTTTGCCCAAAGATAAGGCACTTTGAATCCTCAAATGATTGGTACAATGTAATTTTACCTCCATTACAAGTTGATGAGCCCGAGACACCAATGTAAGTCCATTGGCATGGTTAAATGTTTCAGAAATATCCTGACCAAATGTGTAGCCTGCACCACGTGGAGAGATTCCCCAGCCACCACGATCATCTGGATCTGACCATAACAGATCACACATTGGACCCTATTTAAAAATGGGAAAAATAGTTTGTACACATTTATGTAACTCCAATATATGGAAACAGTAGCAGCTGCTTATATGTTAATTTTAGTTTCTTCTAAATTCTAAAAGTTTGATAATTTGCTTTAACATTCTAAAATTTAAGTTCTTCAGCAATAGGAAAAATACCATAATCTCCATAAAAGGACTTCCAGTAATATTACCTCATGTGGAACTTCCTGCAAACGATCAAGTGCTCTAATATGATCCAGTGTATCTATAGAAGGAGAAAGACCTCCATGGAGACAGAAGATCTAATAAGAGAAAAGATCAAATTATACATATGCAGGCAGTCTACTTTAAACCTTTATTTCTTGATTAAATTTTTAAGGCC